GAATGAAGAATTCAGTTTATTTCAATTTATTATTATGTAGGCGGATTGAGGACGTTGAACCTTTTTAAAAAGTTAAAGATAAATATTTCAAAATTAAGTAAAATACTTTTATCAACATTTCAAATCCATCATATTTTTGTTTGTGATTCATGGCATAACAATACAATACAAACAAAAGAATGAAAAGCTTACATTAGAAAATTCAAATTGACGGAACGCAACGCGTAACATTAACGAATAGTTTTTTTTTGTACTTTCTTAACATATTCCTACATTTCATTTTCAGAAATATACATACATAGATCGTATTATATAAATATATCATGCAATTGATAGTTCTTTTTTTTTGTATTTACAAAATAAAATGATACTCAAAGTAATAACTACTGTATTAAATTTCAGTGTCGGCCGTTTCGGCAAATTATCATTGTTATATGAGACGATAAAAATTTCAAATTGCAACAATATCTTATAATACATTCTATATTTACCCTGCATAACAATTTCAAGATCACGGTAGAATTATTCGATCGCGCTCGAAAATGAACCGAAAGTGAACGTAGAGTCTTTAAGACAAACTTGCACCACTTTTCCCCCATCTTTTAGTATGCTTCTCTTTTCCAATCACAATACTTCACCATATTTTTTTTTTCACCAGCCTTTTTCGTAGTTTGAGGTTGGGGTCGGCTTTAAGTCTCCTACGATACGGCTGAATTTTTAAGCGGAGCGACAGCCATCAGACCTCCACAACCCAAGTACTAGGAAGTACTAAGTTCTGCAGAAAGACTGTTATCGGACTTTTGAGGGCTCCAACTACCCGTAACGATCGCCACAGATGTTCTTATGGCAAACCATATTTATAATACTTCACCATATAGAAATTTAAAATTGGTTAATTTTTACCGACTATATGCATAATTGTCTAATTTGCCTTTGACTGGGATTTCCTAAGGATGTGTTACTACATGTTTTGGTCATGATTTAAGATTATGTGTTTAATTTAGTTACAAAAAATATATTAATCGTCGTATTTTAGTTTTTGTTAAATTAAAAGCTTTTGTAAATGGTGTGAATTATCGAAATGTCTGACTAATTTTAGACCAGACGTCCATCCCTGAAATATCTGCATACATGAGTTAAACCGTTCACCTTAATAAATTCGAATTTCAATAGTTAAATGGAACATAATCTGTGTTGCAACACTCGATGCTAATTTAATGGCTGAAATAATAATCAAATAGTGAGAAATAGATATTAATTACCTCAATCATATAAATAACACTATTGTTACTTATATGTTTGAGGTTGACAAAACTATCAGTTACGGTAAGTAGATATGTAACCTATAATTTTAATCACTTGAACCTAGTGATGTTACACTACTAGCGATGTAGGTACTGACGATTACAATTTGTACATATTTTAAATTAATCTAAATTAAAACTGACTGTAACATATAGAAGAGGCTGATTTAATTATATTGATTAAATGAAATTAATAAAGCTGTCAATATGTAATATTTTAATAAAATTGATATTTCTAATTTTAATTTGGTGGTCACTGTCGTATTAAAAACATTCTCTTCGTTCTTTACGTGTTCTGTAAACCATAAAAATTATTTCAGGTACGTTAATTTTTATTTTTCATTACTTTAAGTCAGTGTTGTTTAATTAATGATGTCTTTATATGCACATTTATCATTATGAGCTAAGTAAGAGCTGGGTTCCCAAAACATTCTGTATAATAAGTATAACTGTATTTCTAGAACGAAATAAATTTGTAGTTCTTTCTAGTTATATAGGGTTTTTATCGAAGTTAAACATTCATGTAAGCACTAGTTAGAAAAAATACATATTTTAATACAGTAAAAATACCTACACGTATTATACAGACATTTTTTCTTTAATGGTTAATGGTGAACTTAAGACGATAGGTGATTTACTTTAACTGTTCGCACACATAATTTTTATATTGGCAGACCTAAATCTGATCAACAGCTTACAAGCAAAAACAGATTAAATTAAGATTTAGGAAAAAAAACATACTGAAAAGTTTCGTCTTTGCACAGACATAATATGTACAAACGTCTAAGATTGTGCTGTAATATTCATTATCATACGCTACAAGGAATTCCGAGACCAGAAATCTCGTTCAACATGCGATTTTTGTTCTTTTGTTTTAATATTGCTAGAACAGAGTAAAGTAAACATTGCAGCTATTCAAACAAGCAATGCAAGTAACAAAAACAAATTTGTTAATCCCGGAAGTATGCACCGAGTACACACAGACTCAACTTAGTCCTTTATTAGGTATGGAGCCCACAATACTCGACACAGAGGCACTTATCTAATTGAATCGAGTTTTTATTAACGACAACTCCCGCAGTAGGAATATATCCCGTGTCTCGGGGGCTTTACAAACATACATGAAACGGACACAAAGAACACCCAGACTCAGAACAACAATTTGTGGATCACACAATGTGTCGTCCCATGTGGAGATCGAACCCAGAACACTCAGCATAGTAAATAGTAAAAAGTGCTTTCTTCTGCATAAAATGCTTTTCCTTTGATATTTAAACGCATTATTTCCAAATCCACAGACTAACTAAAAATATATAACGATTTTATGACTATAGGATGGAATCTAACTCTAGTACTTTTTCAAATTCTGTTAATATTTCCGAGGTCAAATACAATCTTTTGTTTTGATATTAAATTTAATATGCATTTTGTGTATGCAAATAAGTTATTACATGTTAACTTCCACGATAGAAACTACTAGGAAAGCATATTATATATGGAGATCATAAATCAACAAATTGGTACCGTGATTATCACGGAAATCCGGGTTTAAGTTATAGATCGGGTGATTAATGTCTCGTGATTTAGTATAGGTATAAGTGATTCATAGAACAATGAAAGTTACAAAGCCAGTCCAGTAGGACTGCTGACAGTACAGAGACGTATATTTGTATTATTTTTATTTGTTTTTTAGAGATACTAGATAGTCGTTAAATACGTAGTCTTTATTGTTACCGAACTGACAATTTTAGTAACATAAGATTTCATGTTAAAGCATTTATATTTCAAATGATCATTATAAAGTCAAAGAGGTTGTTATCTGTTCTCTTTATATTAATAAAACATTATACTTGTTACCTAATTAAAGGTTTGTTAGGCCAAATTATGTATCTAACTTCCGAATGTAAACTAAACTGAGACGAATGTGCTTATACCAAGACAAAACATTTAAAATAAGAACGGATATAAGTTGATCTTAAATCTTTAAATTATATAATTATCATTAAGAAAAAAGGTTTTTTCTTAATGATATGAAACGCGACCTTTTTCAGAAGACTGCTCAAACATAGGTGATTAATTATAGTGTTCTTGTAAAAAATACTGAATTCTCAATAAAAACATTTCGAACTCGCAACAGAAATTTCAAAAGTAATATTATATAGAATTAACCGCTTCGATTGAACTAACTATATGTTTATAACATGTCTATTTTGTTTATATTATTACAGGATAACAGATATTGTGGCAAACTATGTAAGTTATTGAAAGTTCATGTCCCAATTGGATCTAAAATTTTATTTTGATTTGTACGTTATTTACTAAATAGCTTCATACATATCGACTTTACGTATGTCTTCAATTACATCATAGATACTTAATAATAAATATTTAAGCCTTAAGTGGAATAGCATCAGATTATTCTTGTCATCGTAACTGGTTGTTATGTAAGGCGAGAAACCGAAGCGCACGCGCTCATATGGACGCTGTTTAACGGCATTTTAAAGAATGTCACATTACATAGTACTTAAATAAATGTAGAAAATACAATTCTGTGATCACAATACTAATTACACCTCTATGAAAACTTAATTTTGTTATTATCTTTATTAATTTGAATAATTATCATCATTAATCTGTGCCTATACAAAAGATTTCTTATTTTTGCTGATTGTAGAACCCGAATTCTAACATCCCGAATCGAAAAATTATGTATTTGTCATGTATACATGTCACTTTATGACCCTTAGAGGCTGACTACTACATGAATATACATATATGTAAATAATGATATGACGTGATATATTCATGTCTTAGTAAAAAAATATCCATCGATTTTTTTTAAATACCTGTATGAAATATTATTGAAAACTATAAAGTATTACAAAAAATAATATATTTCATGTATCTATTTATTTCATAATTACTTTTACAGATATAAAAAACTGAATGAAAGAATGGCCTTGTAGTTGCATTTATTGAAAATTAATTGGAAGTTTAAATCGTGTTTAAGATTTTTGGCATTTTTCTTTTTGCAACTATTCAACCGCAAATGATAGGTATGAAAGGCAAAAACTAAACGGATGTAAGACAATAAATCCTCAAGTTGTACTTGTTTGTAATTAGTAAACGGTACAAAATGATTAATAACAATAGTAATTTCAACAAAAATGTTAATTAATTAGTAAATTAAAATAACTCACACACAATGTGAAATTCGGACCCATATTTCTCACAATTTTATTACACAATAACCAACGTAAAACTACAAACGACTTATTTCATCATTGTAATTCATGATCATCATCATATAAATTATTTTTTACACTCGCTCGTGTTAAAGAACTTGACACAATTGCGCGAAAATTGAAACATTGACACCCAAACACTTACGACTTCGCGTGTTAAATTAAAATAACAATATTATACTGTGATTGTAGTTTTAATTACGTGTATCGATATGAACATTAAAAAAAATATTATTTATTCTGTTAACCTGATTATTTAAACATTGGATTGTTGACAATGGTAACAACATATTTCATTCCCATGTTATAATTTAGCACAGATTTTCACAATTTATCCCACATTTTTATAAATTTACGTTAAAAACAAGTACTCACAATTTTCAGGCAATGGTTCATGGTGAATGTGGTTTATCGGTCTGTCACTGTCACAGAAACACTGAAGGTGCGCGCACTATGTCCGAGTGGCGGGATGCTTTCGACTGACTGTAGTGAAGGCGCAAACGCAGAACTGCAGGACTGGCCGCTCCCGCTGCAAGCAAAGCGGTGGTGGGTCCACAATTACTAACACAGTATTTGATAACTGATATTATCACGAGTCATATAAAAAACCATACAAATATTCTTTCTCGTTAATCCTTTAAAATTAGATCAGATCAAAATTGGATCGTGAAAATAAGATCGTTTGTTTTACGTACAGAATTAAGTTCGGTTGCGGGTGGATGTTGGCAGCGTGCGCGTGAGTTGGGTAGTAAGCGCTGGGGCAATGTGTTCACAATATATAGAACGGCACGACCTCCGACACGCGCTGGAAGTGCGCCTGCACAGCACCACGTGTTTGAACCTCTGTGACAATGACAACATGTAGAGCACCAAACAGTTAAAAAAAATGAAACATGTGCAATAGTTAAATTTTGACCTCATTTATTTTCAAATAACAAATAACAAAAAACAAATATCAATTTGTCAGTTTTGATAAATATCATTCCAACTTATAGTTAGACGATGAGATAATTACTTACACATAAAAACAATCGGGGACCCCTTGTGTGAAAAGAAGATGTTAAAGAATTTATAATAGTTTTTCAATAGTCTAGTTAGGTCATTGCATAAACTACCTATTTTGCAAGAACTAAAAAGTACTATTTTTGAATATCGATAGGTAGTATATTTTATCCTCACACAGTCATTAATATAAAATATACCTAAATCTTCCTTATAAGTTACACAGAGGTTTTCCCAATCAATTAAATTTCGGTTTTCGGATTTCGGGGTTTCGGAGCGGATATGGCACCATAGACCACATCCACACAGTGCGGCAGATTATACAGAAGACCGAAGAATATAATCAGCCCCTGTGTCTAGCATTCGTGGACTATGAGAAAGCCTTTGACTCGATCGAGATCTGGTCTGTTCTGGAGTCCCTGCAGCGTTGCCAAGTAGATTGGCGATACATCAAAGTGATGAGATGTCTCTACGAAGCCGCCACCATGTCCGTCCAAGTACAGAATCAGCAAACAAGGCCCGTACCATTGCATCGAGGAGTGAGACAAGGGGACGTTATTTCCCCGAAATTGTTCACAAATGCAATGGAGGACATGTTCAAGACGCTGCACTGGAAAGGGCGTGGCATCAATATCAATGGCGAATACATCTCTCACTTGCGATTTGCAGATGACATCGTCATCATGGCAGAGACGTTGCAGGACCTACAGCAAATGCTGAATGACTTAGCTGACACTTCTGTACGCATCGGCCTACGGATGAACTTGGATAAAACCAAGGTCATGTTCAACGAACATGTACTACCGGAACCGATTGCGGTACACGGTGCCGTTCTCGAAGTTGTTCAAAATTATGTGTACCTCGGGCAGACATTGCAGTTAGGTAGAAACAACTTCGAGGACGAGGTGAACAGAAGAATTCGGTTGGGTTGGGCAGCGTTTGGGAAGCTACGTCGAGTCTTCTCATCGTCGATCCCACAGTGCCTTAAGACGAAAGTCTTTAATGAGTGCGTCCTACCCGTCATGACATACGGAGCTGAAACGTGGACACTTACGGTACGGCTGGTCCACAAGTTCAAAGTCGCTCAACGTGCTATGGAAAGGGCTATGCTCGGCGTTTCTCTAAGGGATCGCATCAGAAATGAGGTGATCCGGCAGAGAACTAAGGTCACCGACATAGCGTACCGGATCAGCAAGTTGAAGTGGCAGTGGGCTGGCCATATTAGCCGCAGAACCGATAACCGTTGGGGAAAACGAGTTCTTGAGTGGAGACCGCGTCTCGGCAAACGTAGTGTAGGACGCCCACAGGCCAGGTGGAGTGACGATTTGCGCAAGATGGCTGGCAGGAGCTGGATGCGAGAAGCCCAAAATCGATCTAAGTGGCGTGCAATGGGAGAGGCCTATGTCCAGCAGTGGACTGCGATAGGCTGATGATGATGATGATGATGATGAGTCATTAATATAAAATATACCTAAATCTTCCTTATAAGTTACACAGAGGTTTTCCCAATCAATTAAATGGGACACTTTTAAATATACATTTTTAAACATTTTTAAAATTTACACAAATCATTTCTTAGCTCGAGCATGTACTTCTTATTAATATGTATGAAATTCACTTAATCAATTTGCTATTGAATTCGGGAATTACATCTAAGATCGAGCGAGGTTACTATCGTCAATGCTTGTGGTTTAAGTCGAGAAAGACGTATTATTTAAAAACCTATTGTATTAAGAGTTATATCTAATGATAACGATGAGAGCAAAATAATAATGATAAAATATTAAATGAATTCAGCCCCATTTAAACTTATTTTTTTAATTTGATTTATAATAACTTATGACAATGAAAGTGAAACTTTCAGAATTTATTATCAACTAGTGAAAAATATGTTTTATTACGATTCAGACTCCTAAATGTATGGATGCCACGAGATTACCAATGCTGATAAACGTATTTTTTTTTACTATTTGCATTCCCGCCTTATGACATGTATCGTGAATAAGTAGAAAATTAATTGTTGCATTAACTAATTCGAATTGGAAAAGAAGCGGAAGACCCGCTTGATGGAAAGCGGTTCGTACACAAAAGCACTAGCCAATATAATTCAACTTGCCAATAATCTTACTTACCATAACAAAAGAACGGGACTAATAGACGAATAGACTTAGGTAATTAATAATGCTGTCTAGCTACTGCATTTTACAGAGTGAAAGTAAAGGACTAGTCGAGGCTAGAATTCGTCCATTGCCTGTGGGCGAGGCCAAAAACAGTGAACAGGGAGTTCATTCGTAAGATTACTTATTAAAGGAATCACCTTTATATAATACCTTCACTCTTATTTGTTACCACCTCTACGTCAGTCCATGTGGTGCATGACCATCCACTCTGTCTCTCCTGCCCTATGTTTAGCAAAGAGCAATCAAGCAATCTATAAACAAGATGTCTAAACTCACGTCTTGGCTGCCCACTCCTTGGGATTATAACAGCAACTCCTCTCTAGGAAAAAATTCAACTGTCACTGCCTCTGCTGCCCACTGTTCTACCGGTAGAGATTTTTTATCCAAACCAACTTTCATTATGCATACTCTCTAGTAAAGCTTCTTGTCATTAGAGATAACAAAAATATTAATGTAGAATAAATTATATAGTTATAAAACAGACTATTTGTTCAAAGTAAAATTTCGATCCTTTAAATCACGAATAAATTGGCTGATTAAATTTCTCTAAATATGTTAATGAATGTAAATATTCTTTAATATTTTCAACCGAACTTACAGAAATCAATTCAGATCTATAACTTTTAACCTCAGATTTTAAAAATTGTATCAATTTTACTCCATACACATGCAAAATTTCTAATTTAATTAATATTCTTGGATGGCACATATGTATAATTAATCAATTAGAAATATAGGCCTACCCCAATGTAAACTTTCACCAGTGCGTTTGGAACCTTCCTTTTGACGCACTTTTGGCAAAAACTATAATAACTAATCTTAGACGAAACGACGATAGGGTGATCTTCCCACGATTTTCTAGCAGAGACAAGATTTCATTTATATTCTCGACTTTAAAGAATGTATGCAGTTTGGAAGGACGTCTGACGATCCTGCTATTTAAAAAAAAGATAATAAGAAAAAAAATCGATCACGACCTCATTCACGTAAATGGGCGTGCAATGTCAGTACGACGATTCATGTGTGCGTATGTGACGATATGATACTTTCGCTGTGTATAAATAAAATGGTAGCTGAACTTGCCCTTGCTAAAGTTGAAATGGCACAATAAAATCAATAAGATAACTGGCGACTAAGCTAACTTCCGTGTGAGACTGGAAGGTGACTGAACGGTTGGATCCAGGGCAATGTCAGAGAGAGGCACTTTTAAAAATCCTTCTTCTTAATTTTTTTTTTAATAGTTTGTGTCTGTGTATGATGTAATATTAATAATGGATTAATGGGCTTAAAATTTTAAAAGCAGTGCAGTAATTAATTTATTGAGAGTTAAGTACTTAAAAGTAATGTATTATATTTTTGCATGAATCTTCTGAAATATTGTGAAGGTCACTTTACTTACTAAGGCGCATCCACGCCCTTGTTAGCCTTTAAAGAAATACATTGTTTTTAATCACGCGAAAAATGTTTTGTGAGTACGACGAGTCATCAAACTCACTAAACCACTGCATACAAATAGTTGCCAATTGTTTAATTTATTCCTAATTACTATAATTTTTGGGTGGTCAGGTATGTACCTACTATGGAATATACCTAATGTCATTAATTTTGAGAGAAGAGGTTTATGTATCAGTTTTAAATAAATTTTTATCAAGTTTTAGTAAGTAATAACCATTTGAACATTGGTAAATATCTGTTAAACATTATGGTTCGTCATTATAGCTTATTAGTGGTTTTAAGTCATACATTTATGTTGAATATTATACTATCAACAAAAACATTCAATTCTAAATGCACAAATATTTTAAAGAAAACTGTTTAATTTCACCACTTTTAAACTGAAGAAAATGACTACAATGTTGGCAAATTGGTGTCATCGAACTAAGATCCGGCCACGGCTAATGTTAGAGATAAAGGCGTTACAAACAAAACATTTCTTCCAAAAAAAATGTGAAAACTGCTAGCTATTAGATTCCAGCAATACGTTATACCAGCGAGTTTTCTTAACACTTCTCAATATTAACATCCAGTCTAAGAGACTATTATACGAACGTTGGCAGTCCTCAAATTGTCTGATTTAGAAATCACTCGTTCATCATTCTCTGGTCTACTGCTGGACATAGACCCCTCCTTAGAAAGGAGGTTTTGGCCTACTATACCACGCTGGCCAGATGGGTTGGTATCGGGTTTTTTGCAAGTTTTTCTTCTCTTTGCAGTGCTGTTGTCCTGCGTAGTTTACTCCCTTGGTCGGCTCTTACGACACCCACGAGATGAATAGGGGTGGTGATACTCTTTATTCTAAATCAGTCACTACATGGATTGGACATTAGTTAGCAAAATTTCAAATACATTTAAATTTGATCATTTTGACGAGAATAATATCAGTCATCGAATAACTTACATCGTTAAATTCCTGGGAAGGAATCAGGAAGTAATTTAATATGTCTTAATCACAGCCGTGTCAACGAAGGTCTATCTAAGCATTCCTAACCCACGCTATTGGTCTGCAATTGCTTTATAGATTAAGCAATTTGCATGAAATTTTATATTTAGATAAGTTTTAAGTTAATTGGCGTACATTTTTTCACTTAAAAAAACGTGCATTTTGTTTTGGGAAATGAATGGTGGCCGTCCATATAAGAATGGAATTTCATCAAGTATATATCATCTTGGTAGTTTATTGGTAGATTATAACTCAGATATCTCTGAAAACGAAGTTCGAGTTCTAGCTATGTGTAGGCTAGTGGCAACAAACAACAAAAACTAGTAATTACACATACGTTCTCATAAAAGGCCAATGCCCGCTCCTTGACTTTGATATGTCGGGTTATGAATGGAGACGAGGAAAATCACCGCCAAGAAATAAAAAACTTTGTTTTATTTCCGTTTTACGCAAATGAGGAAAACAATTAAGTTATTAGTTTATGCTTCATAATGTGTGTCTTTGTATTTAGATTAGATAGTCTTTGTATAAGATAGAATTTTATAAAAAAAAAAACATTGTTAGTAATTATATCGCTACGATTGTTTATGACGTCGAGAGTAAAACAGAGGATCTTCTCAAGCTATAGATATTTCGTTTCACATGGACTGAAAGATATTTCAAATTTGGTATAAGTCAACTTCAGGACAATATTTAAATCACAGTACAGACTGCAAAAGGATAGTAAGGCAAAGAGCTCATTAAAACACTTTAAAACTTCGTAGTGGTTTACTCGGGGTATGTGATGCTTGCATACATTCATGTATATATTCCCGAAGGAACATCTAAATATGGGACAATCAGCAAATATTCAAAATAGAAGATAGGTAAGAGAGGAAAGCAATGGAACCAAGCCTGCGGAGTAGCCAATAACACGTATATTTCAGGGTCTCATGTCTATAAATTCTATAAATGTAAAGTTTGATTCTTTTTTGGGTCCAGGCTACCTAATGATTTTAATATACTAAACAAATTACACAAAAATACTATATTTTATCAATTTAGAATTATTCAAAATTACATTAAAGGGTTTAATATAAACGCAACGTCGCGGACTCGCATTAGTAATAGGAAGCTGTTACACCGGTTCATTACATACCATACTAGGATCATTTACTGTATATGCCAAGCTTTAAAGGATATTTAACAGTTTATTTTGAGACAAAAGTAGTGTGTCGTTTTTAGGGAAGCTTTTCAGCATACATCCACATTAGTCAAGGCTGGCTAAGCATATCAATTTACGAACTCAGCAAACTCGGGAAAGCTATTAAGAGGCACTACTTACAGTGTTTTGTCACAAAACTGTCATAAAAGACTTTAAAAAGTTTCAGGATCGATGATATTATGGACCCAGTTTATCAGTGTTTCATGTCTCTTACCTGGATTACATTATGAACTTTTCCTACTTTCTTAGAACAGATATCTACATAATTATCAGAACTGTTATTTAATTGTTAAACTAAAATGGTAATACTTTGACTTTGACCTAATTATTTAAGAACGGTTCAACGAATATATCCTTATCACTGATTAATTCGTTAGCTCTTTTTTTGTTTTTGGCAAAAACAATTTCAATTTAATTATAAGCAGATATACAGAATACTTTTATCGTCAATCATTGTATGTTACTTGATTTTTTTAAACGATGCCAAACTGACGAGACGCTTCCTAAGGTTATTTTGAACGGTACCAGTATATTAATTTGTCAATCGGTGAAAGACCTAGGATGTCTTGATCTTTACTTGACTCTATACTGAATCAGTGTGATTAAACATATGTATGCCAGGAGGTTACCGGAATCCTCAGAACCTTAAATCGCCTAAAATACTTTTTTCCCTATGAAAACTAAGATAGCTCTCGTGAAATCACTCATCTTCCCTTTATTCGACTAATGTGTGCTATTATGATTTGTTCTGAATCTTGATCAAATGCACAACTTGCTGCTTAGAAAGTTGAAAATAGCATATAATAAAATTACACGGTGCTACGCTTTAGACCTTTGACAGATTATATTTTTTATTAAACGTTATACGGTACACCAAACAAAGCAAGCATACTCTACAAACCTTCACCTTGCAGATCTCCCAATCGAGCGTGACTTCGATAAAAAAACAGTTATTACTTAATAATGACAGTATTTTTGTGCCAAGTTCATAGATTGGAGCCGATTGTCTGAAATAAGTCCAACAACAAAGCCGATTGTCGACGAAATAATGTAGTTTCGTGTGATTTTTCCATTGAATAGCTTACGCGTTCAACTTAATTGTTTATTGTTGCTATTTTACGTTGAAGCGTATAGGTACACATAGAACATATTTGTTTTAAATTAAAGGTTGAGAATATATTCTGAAGCCTCTTGCCGCAAGCTGAGCCGGCAGTATAAGATATTCATAAAAAGTTATATTGAGTACTCTTGAATTGTCCTAATTTCGGAGGATTTTGGTTTTTTTAAGGATGAAAATAATATGATATAGAGATATTTTATATAAAGTGACATTAAAATCTTATTATTATTATCTCTATTAGATCTTTTTTCTATACAATTCTCTATTTTCTATACAATTTTGCCATTTTGATGGCAGTTTGTTAATCCCTTTACTGTAGGAGTTTGCTGGACGGGAGGCAATGCAGTCAGCGAAAGCGTTTTGTACTGTCCCTCGGATGTTGATTTTTTTTCTTAAAAATATTGTCTTAATTTTGACTAAAAAAATCGATTCAGAATTCCCTCGTTTCAATGCCGATTCAATAATGCTATGCATGCTTCGACGCGTAAGTCTCGCTGATGGTCGCTTAGTTTGTGTGGCAAACACTTATCTAGCTTTTTTAACATTGCCATTTGATGCAAGTGCTTCAATGTTGTTTTGACACTAACTCCAAAGCTCTCAGCTAGCTTAGACTTAGATTGAGTTGGATCCACTTGCACTATCGCCTTCAATTCGTCGTTGTCGACTATAATCACCGGCCGACCGCAAAGCTCGTTCTTCAACTCAAAATTCTTCAACTCAAGATCTAAAACAATTGAACCAATAATGGACCGTGTTAATGCAAGCTGTGTTAGGCCCGTACACGTCGTGTGAGTGTTATTTGCGCAGCGGTATGTTATTTCCACTTAGGACTCATATACGAAAATGTATGAATTTTGAGTTTATCCATGGCGCCAAAAACTACTACAGTTTTTGAAACAAATGATTAAATTTTAAATTAAAATAACACGTGTACCAATCGTCAGATAATTAAATTTGAAAATTCTGGTTTTAAAATCGCCAACTTCATAGGTAAAGACCTAAGAAGAATGTGCCACTGCCTTTACATAGTAGTGGTCTATGTACATTCTCATCACGCGTGAATTTATTTAAATCTTCAGAACTATACGGCTATGCCCACGGAGCAAATACAAAGAAATAATAAGAAAATCAATAGTAGAACTAGAATAGCCAAAAAGTTAGATGAGATTCAGTCGTTACTGTGTTATAAGGTTTCATATAGAATTACTCACCTCAACCAATCAGAGTCATTTCAGACATAAAACCTGATGCTGGAATTATACCCATAGTGATATTATTAACTGAACGTGAAACGCTATGGTTTATTCTAAATAGCATAATGAATAAGGAGTACCTGCTCTCTGTAGGAAGTAAATATTTAATGTGTTCGCTTATTTTTGAAGAAAGGTCATTTTTAGTATCAGGTCTCGTAGAATACTTTTAAAACGGTGATCACCTATTGCCGTATAAAGCATTCGGTTTTTATTCCTTTTCACATACTGTCGAATACTGTTTGGTAAACTAGAATTTGGACTATCCTTAACACCAAAAATAGCACAGAAAAAGTACATGCAACAGATACTATCAGTGTACCCTTTATGTAGTGTGACCTTTATGATGAGCACAGAGTTACGGGCCTTGGAATCTATCATACTACAACACTGGA